AATAAATAAAAAAAATTAAAAAAAATCTAAAAAAAAAAAAAAGAAATACACTTCAGAGGGGGCGCCTGGGTGGCTCAGTCGGTTAAGTGTCTGACTCTTGGTTTTGGCTCGGGTCATGATCTCATGGGTGGTGAGATCAAGTCCATGTTTGGCTCCGCGCTCAGCAGGGAGTCTCCTTGATGGTTCTCTCCCTCTGCCTCTCCCCTCCACTGTCTCTCTCTCTCTCTCTAAAAATAGATATTCAAAAAAAATTTCAGGGTAACAAGGAAAAAAGAGATGGAAGATTAAAAGAAAATAAGGGACACATCAACTAATTGCAATATGTGGATACTATTTGGATCTTGAGTCAAACAAAAATTGTAAAAAAAAATTGACGAGACAATTGACATTTTGAACACTGTGGATATTTTATATGAATAAGTTACTAATTTCTCAAGGGTGATAATAATATGGATACATGGTTTCGGTATGTTTCATAAATACAGATTAAAATATTCATTGTTGAGGGATCCCTGGGTGGCGCAGCAGTTTAGTGCCTGCCTTTGGCCCAGGGCGCGATCCTGGAGACCCAGGATCAAATCCCACATCGGGCTCCCAGTGCATGGAGCCTGCTTCTCCCTCTGCCTGTGTCTCTGCCTCTCTCTCTCTCTCTGTGTGACTATCATAAATAAAATAAAATAAAATACTCATAGTTGAAATAATACAGTGTGGGGGACTCTTTCTCCAATTGAATTGTACTAACACACCTGGTTTTGGGGACACACTAATTTCTTGGTTCTCCTTTCCCTTTTCAACACTCTCTTGCTCTATTTGAAATGAGTTGATTTTTGGTTTTACTTGTTTCTTGTCTGTTCCCCACAAGAGCAGCAATCCTGTCTCTTGCATATTGCCACATCCCACAGGTTTAGCATAGCACCTGGAATATATTAAGAGCAAAATACTGAATGAATGAATGAACATCAGTGTAGGTCTTAACATTGCTCTAGTCCTGAGTTCCAGGTCCACATACCCAGCTGTCAACTCAACAGCTACATCTACACCCAGACCAGATATCTCCTCTAGTTATCTTCGAAGATGATGGTGATGATGACAGAAGCTAACTGTTTTATAACACTGAGTGAAGCCAGCACATATGTTGATTTGTTTGATAATAACAATTATCCTCTGTGATTTCATTTAACAGAATGGGAAGCTGAGGCCCTGAGACATCATGTGCCTTGCCCAAGGTCACATACCTCCGCAGTGATTGCACCAGGGTTAGGATGTGAAGAGGCTCTGGCAGACCAAACTTGATGGGCTCTCCTGACTTAAGACTGTGGCCATTCTCCTAGGCACACAGAATCACCATTTGGGGTCACCTTAGACTTTTTTTTTAAGGTTTTATTTATTCATGAGACACACACAGAGAGAGGCAGACACATAGGCAGAGGGAGACGCAGGCTCCTCGCTGGGAGCCCGATGTGGGACTTGACTCCCAGACCTTGGGATCATGCCCTGAGCTGAAGGCAGACACTCAACTGCTGAGCCACACAGGTGTCCCATCACCTCAGACTTCTGCCTCCCCCTTTCCTTCCCACCCTTTTCCTGCCCCGGTCTCAAGTTCAGCCTTCAGGCTGGCCCTCTATTCCTCAATCCCTGTATCACTCAGCGGATGCTCAATACAGCTTTGCTGCCTTGAGGGCAAAACTGCCCCAATCTGAACACACATTATTTATTCCTTCATTTAACATGGGCACCCACTGGGTTCAGCTCCATCCTTCCCAGCTGTGGGGCCCTAAGCAAGTTACTTAACCTCCTGCAGTGGGTCGAGTGGTGCCATCCTGCCCCTAAATATACTTCCATGTCCCAATCCCAGAGCTGGAGACCTTATTTGAAAAAAGAGTTTTTGCAGATGTTAAGTCAAGAATCTTCTGAGATTGTGCAGATGGGCTCTAAATCCAATGACAAGTGTTCTCATAAGAGATATAGAAGACAGACACACACATACAAAAAAGAAGAAGGAGAAAAAGAAGAAAAGAAGAAGAAAGAAGAAGAAGAAGAAGAAGAAGAAGAAGAAGAAGGAGGAGGAGGAGGAGGAGGAGGAGGAGGAGGAGGAGGAGGAGGACAGACACACATGGAGAAGGCCACCTGAAGACAGAGGCAGAACCTGGAGTGGTATGGCCACAAACTAAGGATCCCCAAGGCTGGAAGGGACAAGGCAAGATCCTCCCCAAGAGTCAGAGTGAGCACAATGCTACCAACACCTTGATTATAGACTTCTGGACTCCAGACTGTCAAGAGAATACATTTCTATTGTTTTAAGTCACCAAGTTTGTGGCAATTTGTTACATTAGCTATGGAAAGCTAATGCCCCTCCCTATTTCTCACTGTCCTTGATTCAGGATGGGGATAATCACATGTCTACCTCATTGGGTTGCTGTGCACAGATCTGACCTCTGGTTTTAGCACTTAGAAGTTGCCAAGCCTTGGGCAAGCTATTTGACCACTCTGTGACTCAGTTTGCTTATTTGTAAAATTTGGATAATACTTCTTAGGACGTTGTGACACAGCTGTTCTCAAATCTTCTGGTCTCAGAGACTCTTTTCCAAGGCCACTCTTAAAAACAGCTGAAGACTCCAGGGGCACCTGGGTGGCTCAGTGGTTGAGGTCAGGTCGACTAAGGTCATGATCCCAGGGTCCTGGGATTGAGTCCCAATTCGGGCTCTCCACAGGGAGCCTGCTTCTCCCTCTGCCTATGTCTCTGCCTCTGTCTCTCTGCCTCTCATGAATAAATAAATAAAATTAAAAAAAATAAAACTTGAAGACGCTAAGGAGATTTTGTTAGGTGGGTTATATCTATGGATATCTACTATAACTAGAAATTTAAACTGTTTCTCAAAAATGTTGATTAATTCAGGGCAGCCCCAGTGGCTCAGCAGTTTAGCGCCGCCTTTGGTCCAGAGCGTGATCCTGGAAGCGGGAGATCCGGTCCCAGGTTGGGCTCCCTGCCTGGAGCCTGCTTCTCCCTCTGCCTGTGTCTCTGCCTCGCTCTCTCTTTGCGTCTCTCATGAATAAATAAATAAAATCTTAAAAAAATATTGACTGATTCAAAAGCAGACACACTGCATTTTAACATACATATATTTTTTAAAGATCTTATTTTTTTGAGAGAGAGTGAGTGGGAGAGAGCAGAGCACAAGTGGGGGGGAGGGGCAAAGGAAAGGGAGGAGCAGACTGCAGCCTAACGGAGGGAGCTCAATCCCAGAACCCCCCATCATCACCTGAGTCGAATACAGACAACCCACTAAGCCACGCAGGAGCCCTAACACACATATTTTTGTCAAAAAAAAAAAAAAACAAAAACAAAAACAAAGAACTATGCTCCCAAACCAACAAAATACTGAGAACAGTGGTGTTGTTTTGTATTTTTGCAAATCTCCTTAATGTCTAGCTCATTATAAGAAAGCTGGATCCTCACATCGCTTCTGCATGTGCAATCTATTGATCTATTGTGATATGCTGTTCTGTGTTAAATACACCAAGAACATCTTGCCTCATACTGATATAAAGCTGGCAAGAGGGAAAACCTCACAGAGACCCTTTGGGTATTGGAGAACCCCAGTGATCACCAGGCCACACTCTGAGAGCGGATGGAGTACAGATTAAATGAGGCAGTATTTATTTGTAAAGCACCGAGAATCAAGTATAAAATGGATGTCCAATACATTTTCAACTTAAAATTTTTTTGATCGATTTGTACCAGGTTGGTTGGGCTTCACCGCTATGAGGGCGCTAAAGTTTTTTTATGCCTTCAGGGAGCTCCGGGTCTCCCGGGGGAGGCGTGTGGGTAACCACGCGGCTAGAACTCAGCGTAGGAGACGCACTTCTGTGGGAGGAGGCAACGGGCTGTGCAAATGCAGAGAAGGGTCCCTAAGCCCCGCCTGGCGCCTGGGGAGGGTGGGGGGACTCGATGGCTCAGGAGAGACCCTGCTGGGGGCGGGGCGTCTGTGGACTCGGGGGCTTAGCCAGGTCAAAGGGACGGGGGGGGCTCGGACACGGCAGACGACGGTGCCCAGATCCAAACCCCGGCCTCACCTCCTCTGGTTAGCGGCGGGTGTCACAGGAGCTGCTGAGGGACGGGGCTCCGCGGGCGGGCAGCCCAGGCGGCCTCGGGGTCCCGGGGACCCGGCCACCGGTCCCTCTGCCCCCGCCGGCGCCGGCACAGGAGCGCAGGGCCCTGCCGCCAGCTCCGCCTGGGACTGGGGGGCTGGAGGGCGGGGGGTGGGGCTCGCCCCCTCCCCAAGATGGGCCCCATCCCCGAGGCCACCTCGCGACCCCTCGGTTCTCGCCAACGCGGGGGGGCCCGCCCCGCCCCCCGCCCCCCCAGGCGTCCGGAGTCCGCGTCCCCCCGCCCCCGGGCTAGCCCCGACCCCTCCCCGGCGGCAGTGGGAGAGGAGGAGCCAGGACCCGGCCGGCTCCGGGAGAGGGGGCGGCGCGCCGGGACTCGCGGGGGCGCGGGGAGGACGGTGCCGCGGGGGCGCGGGGCTGCCAGGTCGGCGGGGGCGCGGGGCGGGGCCCGCGGGGACCCGGGCGCCCCCGGGCGGCGGAGGCCGGGCGCGCCCCTCGCCAGGCCGGGATCGGGGCGGGGCGCGCGGCATCCCCGCGGGGGGAGCCGGGCAGCCGGCCTCGCCGCCGCCAAAGTTTCCCGGAGGAGCCGCGGCCGCCCTTCCTCCCCCGGCCCCGGGCGAGGGGGCGATCCCCGGGCGGGGCGGATTCCCAGGGCGACGCGGCCGCCCTCCCGCTGGACTCCGCGCCTCCATTGCGCCCAACTCGGATTCCCAACTTGGGAGGCGCCGCGGGCCTGCGCACGCGCGCCCTGCCCGCCGCCGCCGCCGCCGCCGCCGCCTCCTCCCGCAGGGGCGCAGGCTCCGGGCCCGCCGCGCCGCCGCTCGCCCCCCGCCGCCCGCCGCCCGCCGCCCGCCGGCCCCGCCGCCCCCGCCCATGCGGACGCCGGCCCGCCGCCCCGTGCGCCCCCGCCCGAGGGCCCCCTGAGCGCGCGGCGCCCGCGGCGGCGCGAGCTGGGCCCGGCCCGGCGCGGCCCTCGACAGCCGCAAGTTTGGGAGTTGCACGAGTTTGCGGGGTGGGGGAGCGGCCGGGCGGGGGGCCATGGAGGAGGACCGAGGGTCGGCGCTGGCGGCCGAGTCGGCGCTGGAGAAGAACGTGGCCGAGCTGACCGTCATGGACGTGTACGACATCGCGTCGCTCGTGGGCCACGAGTTCGAGCGGGTCATCGACCAGCACGGCTGCGAGGCCATCGCGCGCCTCATGCCCAAGGTCGTGCGTGTGCTGGAGATCCTGGAGGTGCTGGTCAGCCGCCACCACGTCGCGCCCGAGCTGGATGAGCTGCGCCTGGAGCTGGACCGTCTGCGCCTGGAGAGGATGGACCGCATCGAGAAGGAGCGCAAGCACCAGAAGGTGGGTGGCGAGCGAGCGGCCCCAGCGTGCGCATCCGGGGAATGGGGCCGCGGGGAGCTGCGGGCCCTTCGGCTTCGGGCCGCTGTGGGTGCACACCTGTGTGCACGCGGGGACTCTTGAGAAGAGACCCCACTGGATGGAAGAGGGAGGAGGCGAGGCCCCTGGCCCTCTGTTGTCCAGCCAGCGCCACCTGGCATATGCGGCCTCAGAGATGAAAGGGCAGTTCCTTGGGGTCAGGTCTGAGTTCCAGCCCTACTTTTATCAAGTAGTAGCTGTGTGGTCTCCGTTAAGGGACTCAACTTCTCTGTGCTTTATTTCTTGGCATGGCAAATAGTGATAGTGGTAAGACCCACCTTAGAAGAATTAAAGCGTGATATATCTAAAGTGCTTAGATAATAATTGTTTTCCAGAAATGAAATAAGCCCCCTCTGCCCTTCAGTGTTACCCAAGAAGGTGTGACATCAAGCCCCTTTCTTCTCACCCCAGAACCCCCCAGAGTAAAGGGGATGGGACCTCCAGCCTCCCAGCTCACTGACCCCCCAATCTTCGGATTTCCGTTTGCAAAATGTTTTCCAGGGTTTCTTCTAGTTTATTGACCTGAGGTGTTTTCCCCTCCTTGGTGTTATCTTTAATCTTCACAGAGCTCTGTGAGGCAGGAATTAACTTCATGTAAAGATGAAGAAAATGGAGGGGGGAGGGTTGTCCCAAGTTAGTGCTGAGAGAATCCCAACCCCAGTGGAGGTAACTCTAGTGCTTTTTTCCCTGATTTGGGGGAAGGACGTGCTTTGGGGCAGCTTTCAATCTAAGCCTCTGCCCTACGAACAGGAATCCCTTGGAGCACATGAATCAGGGCCTCCCTATTGGGCTGGGAGTCTAGACAAGGTGCCTGGGGAAAAGGAAGTGGGAGATGTGTGGTTTCCTGCCCCAACCTCAGCCCGGGGAAGATTCTGTGAGACCCTTTGGACAGAGAATAGGAGGAAACGCCTTTCCTTGGAGGAATCAGGGTGCCTGCCTGGGCTCTGGCTTGCTGTGTGGCCTCAGGAAATACATTTGGCCTCTCTGAAGCTCCCTGGCAGGCCATAACCTATTGTGTTTCAAGGAAAATAGCCTCAGGGGCTGTGTCTGTGGTCTTAACCTGGGGGGCAGAGCTGTGAAGAGTGTTGGGAGCTTCCAAGGTGTTTGTCCTCAGAGGTCCCTATGCCCTGAGGTCAGGAAGGAAACCCAAGCTCCCGAGTGTGAGGCAACATTTCCAGGATCCTACTGGGAGCTTAAAAATGCCCCAGCCCTGTAATTAATGTCAAGCTCCCAGGAGCAGGGACTTTGGAGATGGACAGCCTGGTTTCAAACCCTGCCACTGTGAGGGCTCCCTTCGGCAGCACATACACAAACCCTGCCATTGTGATCTTAGGCAAGTCACCTCTTTTCTCTGTGCCTCAGTTTCTTTAGCTGTAAAATGGGAGTGATAATAGCACTCATCTCATCGGGTTGTGGTGAAAAGGGTTGGTTAACTTATATCAAGTGTTTGGGACAGAGCGTGGCCGGTTTTGAGGGCCTTAGGAGTGTTAACTGTTGTCTTTAGGCCTGGAGAGACTCTCAGTGAGGTGTTCATAGGCTGAAATTGGAGATCCTACCCCCATCTCCAGCATCCCTTCTCCTACCCCAGATCCCCCCTTCACCCCCCACCCCCGTTCTCTCTTAGAGAACAGGGGGAAGGGATCTTTGAAATCCTCTCACAAGGCTGCCTCTTACTAACTCGGGCCAAGGGGCTTAGCCCAGGTCACTTAGAAGTCCTGGCACCTGTGTCCCCACCCCCGTCATTTGAGTCTGCAGCACCTGGGCTGGGAGACACCCTTGGGAGCCATCAGAGGCCACTAGGCCTGGAGTCAGATGGAATTCCCAGCCAGCTGCACTTATCACTTCTGGAATGCTATCAGCCAGGAAGTAAACCCCAGCGTGTTCAGAGCCAGACCTTGTTTGTAAACACGGAGGATGATTTCTCATAAATCAGAAGACAAAATCCTTTTCCCATCCAAGCCCCGGTCCCTTTTTCTTGGTATTCTTAGGATCGAGAGAGACTCCTCTGATTTTTTTTTCTTGTAGTCTCAAAGGCTTGTCACGGTATTATTTCCACAAAAGTCTTCTGAGCATGTCCTTGGTCTTATCAGCTTGTCTGTTCATTCCTCCCTCCTTCCCTCTCTCTCACTCACTCTCAGCACATGTGGCTCCAGTAAAACATGCACCCTGTCTTCCATCAGCCCCTCCCCCAGGTACACCCCCAGACTCAGTTCTTCTCATCACACAGACTCAGGCCACAATCATAACATGTTCTATCTGGTTGCTCAGTCTGCAACCCTGTTGATGGGCCAGAGCATACAGAGTGCACTCCTAGGTGATGTGGGCAGTGCGGAGACAGGGAAAGCTGGATCTTCATCTTGCATAGTGGGTAGGTACCTGGAAAGACAGGAAAATTACAGATAGGCTTAGAAAGTGACAGCTATGCAGATACAGTTCTCTCTAATGTTAACAGTATATGTTCATTTACTCATTCAACAAATATATTTATTGAGCACCTACTATGTATCAGGCACTGTTCTGGGCACTGGAGAGATAGCAGTGACCATAACAGATGAGGTCTTTGCCCTCATGGACCTGACTTTCTAGTGCAGTGCTGTCCCACAGAAATATGTGGCTTGTCACATTAATAAAAAGACACAGATGAGGTTCATTTTAATATCATAATAAACCCAGTCTATGTAAAATATTATTTCCATATATAATCAACATACAAAATTATTTTTTATTGAGAGATGATTGCCATGTAACATTGTAGTAATTTTAGGTATACAGCATAATGATTTGATATTTGTATATATTGTGCAATGATCACCACAGTGAATTTAGTTACCATCCATCACCTCACATAACTACCTAAAAAATTATTAAAGAGATAGTTTGCATTTTTTCCTATGTCTTTAAAATCTGGTGCATATTTTTTTTTTAAGATTGTATTTATTTATTAGAGAGAACAAGCATTAGCAGGGTGAGGGACAGAGGGAGAGGGAGAAACAGACTCCCCACTGGACAGAGAGCCTGACATAGAGCTTGATCCCAGGACCCTGGCATCATGACCTGAGTCAAAGGCAGCTGCCTAACTGACTGGGCCACCCAGGCACCCCAGTCTGGTACATGTTTAATCCTTACTGCAAGTGTCAGTTTAGACCAGCCACTTTTCGAGGCTCAGCAGCCATATGTGGCTTGTGACTACTCTGTTGGATGGTGTAATTCTAGTGTGAGGAGATAGATATTTTTTTAAAGTATTTAAATTTTCAGCTTATGATAAATGACATGAAGAAAATAAAACAGAGGGATATGAAGGAGACTGGCCAAGATGGGGGTCTAATAGATGGGGCTAGTCAAGGAAGGCTTCCCTGAGGAGGTGGTATCTGAGCTGAGATCTGAATCAAGTGTGGTGCCCTCCACAGAGAGAGCTGGGAGAGGGGCATTCTAAGCAGATGGCAAGTGCAAAGGCCCTGAGGTAGGAATATACTTCTTGTGTTCAAGGAACACAAGGGAGTACCTGAGTGGCTCAATGGGTTAAGCATCTGCCTTTGGCCCAGGTCGTGATCCCAGAGTCCTGGGATCAAGTCCCACATTGGGCTCCCTGCTCAGCAGGGAATCTGCTTCTCCCTTTCCCTCTAATGCTCCCCCTGCTTGTGCTCCATGTGCACTCTCTGTCTCTCTGTGTGTCAGGTAAATAAAGTCTTTAAAAAAAAAAAAAAGGAAGACAAAGAAGGCCCATGTGGCTAAAATAGAGCATATAAGGAATAGAGGTGAGATCAGGGAGATGCAGGGATCTGATTATACTGAGCATTGTAGGCCAGCATAAGGGGTTTGAAAACGGCAAAGGAGGTAATCAATCAGGGGTGCCTTCCTGGAAGAGCTTTTTAGATGATGTGGAGTCTAGAATAAATTTGCTGTGGTCAGCTCAGAGGCAAGAATCACACATAACCCCACCCCTTTTTAGGGCAGAGTAAAAAAGGAAACCCTGAGAGTTAAAGTCTGTTGCTGCATAACAAGTTACCATGGCTTACTGGCTCGAAGTAACATACATTTATTATGATAATGCAGAGTATGATATTTATGGATCACATCAATATGGACAAACTAGATAAAATTCTGCAGGTCAAAATTACACCTAGGTTTCACTGGGTTAAAATATCAGGAAATTCATTCCTTCTGGCAGCTTTAGGGGAGAATCCACTTCCTTGCCTTTCCCAGTTTCTGGAGACCACCTGCATTCCTTGGTTTGGGGCCCCCTTCCTCCATCCTCACAGCCAGCAGACTACTTTTTTTTTTTTTTTTTTTTGACAGAGGGAGAGAGAAAGAGCACAAACAAGGGGAGCAGCAGAGGGAGAGGGAGAAGCAGACTCCCAGCTGGTAGGGACCCCGATGCAGGGCTCAGTTCCAGGACCCCAGGATCATGACCTGAGCTGAAAGCAGACGCTTAACCCATTGAGCCACCCAGGTGCCCCCAGACTACTATCTTCAAATCACTAGCTCTGGCCTCTGCTTCTGTCACCACATCATCTATGACTCTGACCCTCTAGCCTCCCTCTTCACTTACGAGTACCCTTGTGATTACATTGGGCCCACCTGGGTAACCCAGGACACCTTCCCCATCTCAGGGTCCTTCACTGAATCACACCTGCCAAGGTCCTTTCCCATGTAAGGTCACATAGCCTCAGGTTCCAGGGAGCAGGATGTACAGTCAGTTACACTCAACCATTGCCCCCTGGGGATTTCTGTGCTCAGCCTCTGCCAGATGGGAGCAGAGATGAACAACATAGAATAGCCTGCCTCTCTTCCAGCCCACCCCTGTGAGGGCCACACGCCTGCACCATCCTGCCACCAGCACTTCCACCCTCTGGTCAGATCCTTCACCTTGCCTGGTGACCTTGAACCAGCTGTGTGAATACTTAGTTATTATCTCTCATTTCCCCACTGCAGCACGTTTCCTGACAAAGGAGATGGGGATTTAGGAATTTATTTAAAAGATGAACGGAGGCCGTGTTTATCCGGCCACCTGGGCCAGCTAGTGACAGGCTGTAGGAGGAGCAGAATGCAGCAAACACATCCTTAGCATTTTCTGGGTGTTGGGCACTATTCCAACATTGACATAATCCTCATGACAGCCTTCAGAGGTAGGTATCACACTATTTTCCACATTTCCAAAGCATCCAAAGACTGAATAACTTCTACAGGATCAGCTAGTCAGTGGCAGAGACAGGATTCAAACTCGGATCAGTAGGCTCCAGTACCTATGCTTTAAAAACCAGCATTATGTCCTGATTGTAATAGCAGTTGTGCTATGTTTAGTTTCTGGTTTTACAAAAGGCACCCTCCCTTTTTTTTGGTATCTTTATTGAATATAAGTCATATACCATATCGTTCACTCATTTACAGCATCTAATTCAGTGGCTTTTGATCTATTCAGAGATGTATAACTTCCACCAGAATCGATTTTTTTTAAAGATTTTATTTATTTATTCATGGCAGGAGAGAGAGAGAGAGAGAGAGAGAGAGAGAGAGAGGCAGGCTCCATGCAGGGAACCCGACATGGGACTCGATCCCGGGTCTCCAGGATCACACCCAGGCTGAAGGTGGCACTAAACCGCTGAGCCACTGGGGCTGCCCTCACCAGAATCGATTTTAGACATTTTCATTACTTGGGAGAGAAAACCCATAGCCATGAGCAGCCACTCCTCATTCCCCCACCAACCCTACAACTCTAGACAAGCACCATACTTTTTATGGATGTACCTGTTGTGAATATTTCTGATCACTGGAGTCCTACACTGTGTGGCCTAGCTGCTTTCACTTAGCATTATGTTTTCAAGGTCCATCAATGTTGTTCATCAGTTGATGGACATCTGGGTGGTTTCTACTTGTTGGTGCCTGTGAACAATGCTGCTATGAACATTCCCATACAGGTTTTTGTGGGGACGTGTGTTTTCATTTCTCTTGGGCAGATCCCCGGATTGGAATTGCTGGTCACAACTGTTTTGCTCATTAAGGGGCTGCCAGACTGTTTCCCACAGTGGCTGTGCCATTTTAAGATACTCACCAGCAAGGCCTGAGGGTTCCAACTTTTTCATGTCCTTGTCAACACTTCTGTTTGTTTGATTACACCCATCCACAAAATAATTTTAATAGACTGATCTTAGTTATCCTCACATCAGCCCTGTGAGTCTTTATATTATGGCTCCCCCACTAAGGGAAACAGGCTCAGAGTTGTAAAGTGAATCTGTTGCCCAAGACCGCTTAAAGAGATGTCAGACATACAGGGAACACTGGGGCTAGGTGGCCTCCTGGGGGTCTTTTTTTTTTTTTTTAAGATTTTATTTATTTATTCATGAGAGAGAGAGAGAGAGGCAGGCAGAGACACAGGCAGAAGGAGAAGCAGGCTCCACGCAGGGACCCCGACATGGGACTCGATCCCAGGTCTCCAGGATCAGGCCCTGGGCTCAAGGCAACGCTAAACCGCTGAGCCACCTGGCTGCCCTCCCCAGGGTCTTTGAAGCCTCTTTCTCCCTTGGAGACAAGTTGGTCCTGACTCAGGGTCTGTCCACAGATCAGGGCTCTGACCTCTCCAGAGAGTTTGGGAATGCTAGGGCCACCGTGGCCCAGGCGTGACCTTACAGTTGTGGCTCTTGAGGCAGTTCTAATGTGGCTGAGTCCTAAAGCACAAATGCAGGCTATGCCCAGAGGAAGGACACCTCTTACTTATTTCAGAGTTGCCACATGGACTAGTGGTGGCCTTTTCTTGGTGTGCTGGCCCTCATGGGGAAGGGAACACCCCAAAGCCCTGGCAGGTTCAAGCAGCTCCCGAGGGTCAGGGGGGTGAGGCTGCTGCCCTGGGCAAGTTATGACCCCCCACCACACACTGGCCCGTCGCCTTCACAGGAGCTGGAGCTGGTGGAGGATGTATGGCGGGGGGAGGCACAGGACCTCCTTTCCCAGATCGCCCAGCTGCAGGAGGAGAACAAGCAGCTTATGACCAACCTCTCGCACAAGGATGCCAGTTTCTCTGAGGAGGAGTTCCAGAAGCATGAAGGTAAGAGGAGGGGCCAGCCTGGGAAGTTAGGAGAAGGCTGCTCCCACTGTGATCATAGGCATGAGGAATGCCCAGTGGATGAGACAAAGCCCTTGCCCTCATGAAGCGTATGTTCTAGTGCAGAGGAGCAGGATGATGGATATGTAAACAAACAGATGGCATGGTTCCAGCTTGTGACCAGTGCTCTGGAAGAACCCATACTGGGGGATATGATAGAGGTGATTTGGTAGGGGACTTCTGTAGACACAGTGATCAAGGAAGGCTTCTCTGATAAGGTGACATTTGAACCCTCGAAGTGATGGACTGAGCCATGCAAATATCTTGGGAGAGAAGCAAGTTCAAAGGCTCTGAGGCAGGAGTTTTATATGAAACCAGGAAGGCCAATATAACAGAAGATGATCAAGGCCAAAGGTGGTTAAAAGATGAGGTCAGAGGGGTCAGCAGGAGTCAGATCACATGCCCCTTGGAGACCAAGGTTTGGATTTTATTCTAAGTGTGCTGGAAAGATACTGGACTCCTGCCAGAGGCCCATGTTGCACAGTGAGCAACCCAGGATGGTAAACCAGATCAGAATGGCACTGGAACCCCTGAACTGTCATTCATCCTGCAGACAGTTATCTAGAACTTTTACTCCAGGCCCTCTGCTGGTTTCGGGGAAGCAAAGACTGCCATGGGATTTAGCCTGGGCCCCATGGGCTGCATCAGCTCTTTTCTCCCTCACAGCCTCCTTCCCAATCGGAGGCTGCCTGTTGCCCCAGGAATCTCAGACCTCTGACTCCTGTTTGAAGAAACTCCTGGGTCCCCACATAAGCCCTCTCCTCCTGCTGGATGGGGTGAGAGATGGGCTTGCATAGAAACTAAAGTTCAGAACCATAGTAACTCCTCTGTAAGACTAAAGTAGCATACTGATAAGGACTGTAAGGACTGAGAAAAGAGGATATTTTGATGTAGGTGCTGGAATTCTGTTTGCCTTGGGTTTCCTTGGTTTACATGTGATCTGTGTAATGAAAGCAAAAGTCTTAGTGGTTACAAGCATTGGCTCCAGAGCTAGGCCTCCTAAGGTAAGTAACCCACTACTTACCTCCTAAATGACCTTGATCAAGTCACTTGACCTTGTGTGCCTAAGTTCCTCTCCAGATAAAAATGGGAAAAATAACCGTGTGTCACTCATAAGGTTGTTGTGAGGATTCAATGAATTAATATCTACAAATCACTTAGAATAGTACCTGGAAAAAAAAAAAAAAGAATAGTACCTGGTATATACATGCAGCAAGTGTTAACTGTTATTACTGAATTTTTGGTTATTCAGTCCAGCCTCCTTATTGAACAGATGAGAAAAAATGAGGCTAGGGGCAGTGCAGTGGGATGTCCAAGGTCACAGAGCAAGTTAGTGGGTGAAGTCAGGACTGGAGCTCAGGTCTGCTGAAGTCAGCCCCCTGAAGGAAGGCTTGTATCTCTCTGAGACCCCTTGATCTGGGGCTACCAAATGGGAATCATGCCCAGCCCCACAAATGGGCCACTGTGTTATTCTGGTGCCTAAGAGCTAATGATTCCAGACAGAACACTGCTCATTCATTGGCCCTTTATAAACTCATTTTATCACTGGAGTGCCTGCTGTCTGCCTGGTGCTCTGGACTGCCAGGTTGGAGGCTAAGAGGCACGTGCTAGGGCCTGCATCTCCCTTCCACAGTGGCAGAAGAGCTCCTTTCCACCTTCTCCTTAAAACACTCTGACACCAAGTGGATGGTTTCTTTTTCCCCCACACCAACCAATTTTCCAACTCTCCAGGCACAAATAATTTAATTTGGCTTATAGCATCATCTACCTGGAGTTAGCATCAGACTCCACATGTTAAGGGATCGGCCAACGAACTGCCCTGAATTTAGGTGTCAATTGGCAGGTAACAGATCCCCAGGATACTCACATCTATCTAACTTGGCTACAAAGTCAGAGGTTCCCATAGCTCCAGACCCCAAGCTTAATACTTTCTGGAATGGCTCATAAAACTCAGAGAAACACTATTACTGACTTATAAAGGATACAAAGGATATTACAAAGAATACAGATGAACAGCCAGAAGAAGAAAGGTATATAGACGAGGTCTCTGGAAAATTTCCAAGTTCAGAAATTTCTATCCCAGTGGAATTAGGGTGCAGCACCCTTTGTGGACATGGGTATATTCATTCATCAACCTGGAAGCTCTCTAAATCCCAAACACTGATGGAGGTTCCATTATGTAGGCATGGATGATCAAATCATTAGCCATTGGTGATTAGCTCAACCTCCAGCCCCTTCTCCCCTCCTCAGAGGGGAGGGGTTAAGGCTGCAAGTTCTAGCCCTCTAATCACTCATCACATGGTTTGTTCCTCTGGTAACCAGACCCCATCCCGAAGCTCTCTAGGGGGACCACCAAGAGTCACCTCATTATCATAAACTCAGATACGGTGGAAAGAGGCTTGTTAGGACAACAAAAGACACTCCTCTCATCCCTATCAGGAAATCACAAGAGTTTTAGGAACTCTGTGCCAAGAACATAGGTCAAAGACCACATGTATATATGTACATGTGTATATATATTCAATCGTGTTATCTAAAAACATATATATTTCTTACCATATTGCAATATCACAATGGCATAATGATACACACTCAGTCCCTTGAATGAAAGCAAAAAACAAACAGAACAGGCATAACAAAGCAGAAAAGGAGTAGATTGTGGATAGGAGATTTAAACCAATTGTACTGGAGGTTATATTAAATATAAATGGACTAAAAGTCCTAGATAAAGATTGTCAAAAAGTATTTTAAAAATTCAACTCTGTTGTTTCTAAGATACCTCTCTTGTAAAGGTTGAAAGCAGAAGGCTGAGAAAAGATATACTGTACAAACACTAACCAAAAGAAAGCTAGTGTAGCTATACAGATATAAGACAAAATAAACTTTAAGGCACAAATCATAATGATAAAAAGTTCAATTCATCAAGATGAATTGATAATGTAATGTAATTACATAATGTAATGTAATGATAAAAAGTTCAATTCATCAAGAAAATATGATTTTCAGTTTCTGCATACCTAATAATTTAGCCTCAGAGTTTATAAATCAAAAGTGAACAGAAATATGCCCAGAGTAGGCAACTCTCTGGACAGAAAGTAGATTAGTGGTTGCCAGGGGCTGGAAGGAGGTCAGGAAAGAGGAGCGACTACTAATGGGTATGAGGTTACTTTTGCGGGGTTGATGAAAACATAGTGGTGACAGTTGCACAACTCTCTGAACATACTAAAAACCACCAAATTGTATATTTTAAATATACTCATTTAAAAAGTGGACAAGTAGGGCAGCCCTGGTGGCTCAGTGGTTTAGCGCCGCCTTCAGACCAGGGCCTGGTCCTGGGGACCCAGGATCAAGTCCCACATGGGGCTCCCTGCGTGGAGCCTGCTTCTCCCTCTGCCTGTGTCTCTGCCTCTCTCTCTCCCTGTGTCTCTAATGAATGAATAAATAAATTTAAAAATAATAATAAAAATAAATAAATAAAAAGTGGACAAGTAAACAAGAAAAACACATCCACAGTCATAGTGGGAGATTTCAACATGCCTCTCAGTGTTTGATAGAATAAAGCAGGAAAAAAAAACCCAGTAAATATCTAGAATATGACCAGTGGGTTAGTAAAGCCATATCCATGTATGAGGAGAGGAGAGGCCAGCCCCAGCCCTGCAGCTCCTGGCCCAGTGAGCCCTGGGAGATGTGAGGCAGGTGACAATCTGAAGGTATGAGCCTGCTCCAGCAGGTAGACATAAGCAGTTGAGGATGGTTGCACACATGGCACACCTGCCCGAGGGCCCCAGATCTGGATTCAGGTGGGAGCGAAATCTGAGTTTTTGCTCTCAAAAAATTGCATACACCTGGAAAGCTGAATAGCAGAAAAAATTACTTGAGCATCTGAGTTAATGTTTCCTGTTAAAGGAAGCTTGAACCTGAGCAGTTCTACAGCTGAAGCCCCAGTGTCCAGCCTCAAGACTTGAGGACATTGACGGCAATTTCTCCATGTTTTACATTCTAGGGGAAAAAATAATGAAAAATTTTCAAAGTAAAAAATAAAATGCACGCATGTTACTTTTTTCTTTTTAATAAAATAATGCTAAAGTATTTATGGTGAAGAGCTTGGTCTCCCTTCCACTCCTGTTCCCAAGCAGTCTGCCTAGATGGTACCCTAGAAACCCCCTACTCTCTTTCTGCAGATTTTCTATGCATGTTTGAATGTATATATTTACACAAATGCAGAAGGAGAATATCCTTTTTCGCCCCCTCACAAATGGTAACATATTCTAGACTGTTCCACACAGTCTAGAATGGGTGTTGTTTTTTTGTTTGTTTTACATTTTTACTTTTAATTTTTAAATTATTTTTAAAGATTTTATTTATTCATGAGAGACACACACAGAGAGAGAGGCAGAGACACAGGCAGAGGGAGAAGCAGGCTCCACACAGGGAACCCGATGTGGGACTTGATCCCAGGACTCTGGGATCGCGCCCTGGGCCGAAGGCAGGTGCTGAACCGCTGAGCCACCCAGGGATCCCTGTTCTACATTTTTAACATACATTTTTATTTTGGAATAATTTTAGATTTATAGAAAAGTTGCAAAGATAATACAGACAGTTCCCATAATGCTCCTGGCAGTATTCTCTCGTAATGACATCTTACATTACCATGGTAATGGGTCACAGCTAAGGAACCCACATTGGTATGTTACTATTAACCAATCCGCAGTCTTTGTCTGGATTTCACCATATTTTAGGTTAATGTCCTTTTTTCTGTTCCAGGATCCAGTTCAGGATGCCACATTGGATATAGAGCACCTTGATTTTTTTCACTTACTATATCTTGCAGAATTTCCATATTTGTATAGGTCTATTCCTTCCTTTTGTAAGAACAGTAAGGCAGGGTAGTTCAGTAGGTTAGGTATCTGACTCTTGATTTCAGATCAGGTCATGATCTCAGG